AGTAGAGCCCAGGATCATGGAGATCCCCTGCACCAGCAAGTAGCAAGCCAGTCAGCAGTTCAGCACTCCGCACCTTGAGGGTGCACTAGAGCTCTTGATTCTCATGCACCCCAAGGCTGGGAGCCCCAGTCAGCTGACTTCTACTCCTAACCTCAAGAGTGCATTCAAGCCAAGGGCTTTGGTGTGTCACCAAGATTTACTTCATTCAGAAACCATGTTGTCTGTAATCTGTGGCACAGTTAAACTGTAAAATGCATTTATCTCAGATCTTTCAGCAAAACTTAAAGGGACTCAGATTTCTCATCAATTGAAGGTAAATTGATTAACTGGAGTTGATTCATTGATTGATTGGAGTGAAATTGGCTGTCTTAGTTTTTCTTACATTTCTTATAAGTCTTGTAAGTTTTCTTACAAGTGAGTTTTTAGAAAGGTTTTAGTTGAATTCTTGAAACTTGTCATTCCTTTTTTGGTAAAACCTTTTTTATTATGCTATTAATGAAAGTGAAGAATGTTCTTTTTCCTTCCCTCTCTGTTAACAATCTCCAAGCTCGAACATGATTGTTGGGGTTGGAAAGTGTTACTTGAAATTAAACAGTTGAAGAAGGCTAATAAATTGTACTAAATATTGACTATCCTTTTATAGGTGCTAATTACATTTTCCTTCACAAGCTTCCTTTAACTATATGCATAGCTGTTAAACGTAACTCATTCTCTAATGAAAACTATGTAGATAACATCAGAAGGTGGTTAATTCAGTTGGTAACATTACATATTTGTTTCATTTAGTAACAGTGTTTTGGATTTAACATTGCCAGTCATGAAGGCTACTTGTCAAAATAGAGAGAAAATAACGCTTTCTTGGCCTAGCTTTGTTTTATTGACTGTTTTAGTTGCCATTCAGTATTGTAACATGCTGCTGCTGCTGCTCTTGGCAAGGTGGACATTGGGATGTGTTTTGCTTATAGGAGATGTATTTGCTGCTATTTTATCTACTTTAAGATTTTCTTTAGGTCTCTTGCCTAATATCCAAGTGATTTGGGTGTAAATTGTCGTTGTGGCCTCTAGAGCAGTGTTTCCTAACCAGGTTTCCTAACAAAGGTGTGCCATCAGAAATGAACAGGTGTGCCATGGAATTTTGCCATGGCAATGAGCTACAATAGGTATGAGGATGGGGAATGCCTTAACACGTGTGCTGTGGAACATTTTTATTAATGTAAGTGTGCCTTGGGCTGGAGAATGTTGGGAAACCCTGCTCTAGAGAACTGCAGAAAGGGCATAGTTAAGGCAGCCATGGTAGCTTTTTAATACATGGAATACAGGGCCATTATGAACTTTGACTTTTAACTGTGAAAGTTGATAGCTTGCCACCAGCTATTTGAATAAAAAAAGCAAAACAAATCAAATATTATGGTTATATCTCTGTCTCTATTCACAAGTTAACTCTTGTCACGTAGACTATTTTCTTGGGCAAAAATAATGTAGCAGTTCTATATTTTTTGAAATCCTCTGACTGGCTAAAAATTTGTTTTTATTAATTAAATTATATGACAGATGAGAACATTGCCATGACTGTTTTAACTATGGTTGTAGTTTTCAAATGTGCATCAATTAATAATTGATCTGAATTTCTAGGTATAAATAATGAAAAATCATAGGTGACAGTACTACTGGTTAATAATAAGCATGCAAAGTGTTTGGGGGTTTTTTTTTTAATTTTTGGAATAATCATATCTTGCATCACTTTCTATATTCGTGCACTTACAGCCAAATTAAAAATAGATTTTTGTTAATAATCCTTCTAGTGTTGCGGCTTTTGAAGAAATGATAGAGCCATTCAGGCTTCATGAAGATGATAAAGAACAAGATGTTGCAGATAAAATGAAAGAAGATGAGCCTTGGAGAATAACAGATAATGAACTTGAACTTTACAAGACTAAGGTATTGTTCTTTAACTGACTGCTAGCATTGTTGGAACCCACAGGACAGGACCCTTATTACTCATCAGTACTTGTGGCCACATTCCCAAACTTGAGATGCAAGTCATCACTGTCTGAAGACCAGCTCTCCAAAAATACATTCAGAGGAGAAAGCCTCTCTTCCTGAGGCTGTCTCTGTCTATCATGCCATAAGCTTTGCCTAAAAAGTGGCATAAAATTTGCCCTCAGTTCAATATAATCCTGCAGAATTTTATGAGGAGAAATGCAGAAATTTTGCAGATCCCTTTCACATACTTACAGATATTCTTGGATACCTCTATGCCCAATGAAGCTGTCTCAAAAAGATGGATCTGTTGCAGCCAGCCAAGGTGGTGTATAATAGACTTCTGACACTATTCTACCAACACTTAAGGCTGTAAAGAGAAATATTATTATTCCTTGTGGCCAAGTGGGGTGTTTATACTTGCCCCACATCAGATTCTCTAGTCCTGGTAGCTGGTGAAAGAAAGCAACTACCAAACTTAACTCCAGCTCAGAGATGAAATGCATGGACATGTTTGGCAGAAAATGTTATTCTTCAATATCATTACACTTCAGAATTTAATTGCCAGGTGCTGATGGAGAAGAAATTAACTGATGATTTTTGGTTTTGTTAGACAGCTGTCTGCTCTCCCCACCATTTTACTGCCAGTATTCATGAATCATTATGCAAATATCAAACTAGAGAGAGAACCAGATTTTATATTCTCTACCTGTCCATGCTGCTTCTGTTGTTGGCTAGCACTTCTTTTGATGACTCTGGGGTGGATGCATACTTTTTGTACCTTTCCCACCTTGTAGGAAGAGTGCCAGAGTCTATTATAAAATGAGATACTTCGAAAATAGATAAATTGGTGCTGGAAGCTTTTTTTTCACTGAGTACTTGATCAAATTCCATTACCTTTTCCCTGTCACTTCTCAGGGACACCTGTCATGAGGTTACTCAAGAAGAAAACCTCTTTTATTGTATTTACGTATTCCAAGATGAGGCTTTCTCCCCCTTTTAGCATGGGGAGCAGAGGGTGAAAAGCTCCCCATCTTGAAATAAAATAGAAGGCAGTGGGGTGGCTGCTCCCCCTCCTCCCCACCACCCTGTAGCTTTGGAGCAGCTGTCACTTCCTCCCATCTTGCCCTGCACCCACAACCTCTGCCCCATCTTCCCACCTCCAATCCCTTTGCTTACCCTTTCTCTGGACCTGGCAGGCTCTGTCCCTACACCAGCCTGGGGTATGGTGCATAACTGCAGCCTGGTCCAGTAGTAGTTGGTGAGTAGGGGCAGAGGCTAAATAGGGAGGGAGACTGCAGTAGGGGGGAGCCAGGGAGTGGTATAGGGTGGCACAAGGAGGGGGAGCAGGGAGCAAGAGGCGGGGAAGGCAGGCAGCAGGGGCAAGCTGCTTGACCTCCAACCACCTGCTTCCCCATTACTTCCTGCAATTTCTTAAATTCCTGACTGGCAGTAGCCCTTACCAGTGCTTGTGCTGCCCTCTGTAAATGTTCTTGATGCTTTTAACAAAGAACAAGACCACAATCACAGGTAACGTTAGCCAGCAGGGTGTACAAGTGTTCCTGCATCTAGACAACTGGCCATGTAAAATGCACTCACTCCTAATGGGTCTAGCAATCTCTCTAAATAGAATATTAATCTGTTCTGAACAATGGGACTCTGGATAAACAGAAAACACTTGGGTAGCAGCCTACGCTAGAGAATGGGTGAAATGATTGTGGTCTATACAAAAGCAAAACTGTTTCTACCCCATAAAAATGTCCTATCCTGTCCTCTTTGGGGACTGTTTTAGTTGCTCTAGTATCTACTAAATTGCTTTTGCCTTACCTGACTTCTCAATCAAGACCAAACCTCATATAACTAAGGTCCTGGCTACCTTTATACTCTTAAAATATCTCCTAAAAGAGAGGTTAGTAGCATGGTATTGTTATCCCCCTTCTTAAGGCAGTCTGCACTTGTGCATCAAGTGCCTCCTTTGGTAAAATAGTCCTGCAACCAGTCCCCTTACAAGGATTAGTACACACTTCTTACTAGTATACTGTCCAAGTATGTCCAAGCAAGTGGAGTTCACACAGGGAAGAAAGGTTACTTAACAGTTCAGTTACTGAAGTTTTTCGAAGTCTTTCCCTGGGCATGTTCCACCACTTGCCCTCCTCTGCTTTGGATTCTTGTTTTGATATATTTGGATGCTGAAACCTAAGGAATTGGAACAGTAGTCGGTTATGCAAAAACATTGGTTATAGCAGTGTTTCAGTGCAGGATGTTCACTGTGTGCATGGTTTTGGTGGAAGCTACTGGTGTAAAACCTGATTTTCAGAGTACATTTTGCAAGTACAGTAAAATGCATACATGCGCTCTGCTGTAGAGAATTCCAGTTTCTGAACAGCCCCTTTGCTAACCTGTATGTGAATCAGTGCAGTACTCTTTCAGGAGTTTGCAGGCAGCAGCAGAGGGAGGTTAACAAGACTAGCTACATGAATTCAGATTAACAGAAAGAGGTTCTGGGGCTTGGAGGAAAAAGACTTCCACAAAAATTGCTTTGGGTGAGGGATGAATAAAAGGGTAGAGGCTGTCCAGTTAGGATCTAGGAAGCTGAAGGAGGCTAGAGTGGTGGAACCTTATTATAAGAAGGACTCTGTACAGGAGAAACAGAAATATCTTTCTCTCTTAGTAGCCAGAAGTTTGGCAGGGGGAGCTGGAAGGTTGGACTTTACAATAGCTGCTAACTAGAAATTGATTGAGGAGAGTTTGGGACAGAATTTTGGAAGGTCTCTAGTAGCTGAGGTGGTGAAAGATCTGGTCTCTACACAAAAACACAGCTCCTGCTATCAGCTGCCTTGTGATTTGGTTTGAAAATATTGCTGCATAACATTTGTAAGACCTGAAGCAGCGTGTTTTATTACAAACCTGAGCACGGTGTTAAAAACTTGAAAGAGAGGAAATATAGATGTTGTTATAATTTTAGGCATCCTCTTGCATGCTTCTTAAATGGAATGATCTCTACTTCATTTTGGATTGTTTTTTAAAAAAGAGTTCTTCCTAATGAATTTGTTGTGGGGGCGGGTTTCTACTTTTATTACAGACCCACCGCCAGCTTAGGCTAAATGAGCTGCTGAAAGAACATTCAAGTACAGCTAATATAATTGTAATGTAAGTAGTGTTGACTTTTCTGTGTGTAAATAAAAAATATAAATATTCTTTATATATTTGCATTTGGAGTAATGGCCATAGTTAGATGCACTATAATGACATTTAGGATAATAGGTGTAGAATAGGTATTGGAGGTATCAAGCTTCAAACAAGCAAGTTTTAAGCACCAAAAGTAGTTTACCGTGCTGAGAAGCAGAATCAATTAGTTTGTGCATACTCCATTAATACCACATTTAAATGGCTTCTAATACATGAGCTAGCTTGCATTGATATCTGTGCGTTGTGCTGCAGTTTGCAGTTTAGCACAGATAATGCTCTGCAACTTTGGCGTGACTTGTACGTGCCTTCTGCTCCTTGTACATTACCTGCTCTCAGTCATCTTCAGATTCTTCCTTACAACCTGATCCCTGAAGCTTCTTCCAGTTAAAGTTACCATGCATTTGTCAGATCTCTGTGATAACCTTCTTTGTACTGCAAGTCCTTCAGTGTAGAAACTTTTTCCTGTGGCACAGTCTATCCTCTTTTTACAAGTTATGTAAAAAGTTTTCTGTGTTTTTTCTGAAGCAGAGGAAGCTAAATTGGAGCAGTACATGTAATATTCTAAGTGGTTTCAGTGGGGTGAGAACTGGAGAATGCTTCCTAGGGGTCTAGTAAGAAGGATAATGAGATACCAAGATATTGCACTCAGAAACGAAGGTAATATTTAAATCGTAAACTGGGGAGAGTCATCCACTTGAGTGAAATGGTGATCCCTAGCTTGAAGTTTCTTGGAGTGGAGGCCACAATTTCAGGAGTGGAGAGAGTGGGTAGGTGAACTCAGAGGTCAGAAGTAGAGTGCAGTTTAGTGCAATTAAGAAGGCTGCACTGCTTGAATGATTTTTCAGTTAAGATAATTTAACTTCCGTGTGCTCAGAAGTATCAATTAATTAAATACAACCTTGTAAGAAAAGGAAAAGGGGGGGGACAAAGTGTGGGCTGGAAATTACTGAAAGTTTACTTTACTTTATCTTTTATTTAATTATTTTTCTCACTGATACAGTACTAGCTTGATGTCATTTTTAAACTTTGTTCTTTGAATTCCAGGAGTTTGCCACTTGCAAGAAAAAGTGCAGTATCTAGTGCGCTATACATGGCTTGGTTAGAAGCTCTATCAAAAGACCTGCCACCGGTCCTCCTTGTTCGTGGGAATCATCAGAGTGTTCTTACTTTCTATTCCTAAATGTACTGCACAACAGACAGCTGTGATGAAATGGTACTCTTGTGCCTACAGGAGAGTGACTGAAATGTTCTGTAGATTATTTACATCACAAAGGCAAAAGGACTCTTCTTTCACTATTCCACTGACTTGAAAGCACACAAGGAACATCACTGTATTTCTAAAGTTGTGAAATCTTCAGTTTCATTCTAAATCTTCTGTAACTTAATCTTGCTTAATGGGGGAGGATTCCTTGTTAGACTGAAGAACAAGAAAACAAGCTTTTTCTTTGCTACTTGAATAGCAGCAATAAAAGTTTTATTTTTGATCAATGAAAGGAGTATAGATTTATAAAAGCCTTTTAGCCTTGAGGTGCCTTCTGAAATTAACCAAATTTCATCCATACACCCTATTTTATAAATTTATATAGAATGTCAAAATCTGCCTTCAACTAAGACTTTAGGTCAGACTTCCTTTAGTTTTTAGTCTCTTCCATCTTACAATAAAAACGAATGCTGCTTTTCGGTCTTCCATCAAGCTGTTAGTTTTTAGTACTGTATGTTTTCTATTGTTCAGAATGTTTGTTTTTTTATGATATCTGTTAGATTTGAAACAAAGGTGAGGATTGGGGCAGGTCAGTTGGAATAAAAAACAAGTTCATAATGATGTTGTCCAAAACTTTGTACTACTAAATTTGTACAACTTAAAATAAATTAATTGTACTAGATAAATGAGGAGGACCCTTTTCTCAAATTTGACATTGTGTACTTCTTTGCCATTAATGAAACATGTACAACTGGCTACCTTGGTGAAGGTTAGCGTGTCAGTCTTTACTCTGTAGCTCTGACATGAAACTGTATTCCTGTTCTAGACTGCTGACAAAAATTTGGATTATTCTAGTTTGTGTTTGGGGGAGGGGGAGAGGGGTTGTATTTAAACAAAGAAGGACCTGTCCTAGTTCCTGACCTTCAGATCTTGGTGTCACTTATTTAAAATAAATAAATAAATAGGTTAACATAAGGCTCAGGAAGAAACACGAGCTATGTGATGCCATCTAACAGAATACAGTAAACACTATGTGGACTTGTACTAGGTCATCCAGTAGATAAAATGTAAAAGCTAAAGTTCTCAAACTTTTCATCAAATGGTTAAATGGACCATTAGTTATTAGGGGAGATGTTTTTAGGTCAATTCATTCAGTTGTCAGAAAACAGATTAAGTCTTATTAAATACTCAGGTTTGATCATCTAGAAATTTAGATTTAATCAATATGTATTTTACACACTTTTCATGTTTAAGAAAACTGCCAATGTGTGTCCCCCTCCTCCCATGTGTGTTTTGACTACTTCATAACTTAGTCTACTATGGACACCTACACAAGAAACTTCACTTATGCCTTGAAGCAGAGGTTAATAATGTGAACTGTATTTTTAATTCCTGTCTCTTTTGCAAGAAAGGATTACCTAAAAACATTTCACAACCTTTGGTATTGATACTAGGCATATTACTGGGTCAACTTAGTAGTGTTTCAATGATTTTCACTGATGCATAGGAAAAGGTGTATTTTACTGCTAACCATAAAAACAAATGTAGATGCTCAGTAATAGGTCCTTTTTGAATGGCAAAGCTATTAGTTGTCATGTGGCAAGATAGTTTCAAATGGTTACAAATGGAGAGAGCAAAATACATTCTGCTTAGTGCAGTATACACTGCTGGTAAACAGCAAAATGATCTCCTTTTTTTTTTTGCTGCTGGTTTCCACCAGTGTGGATCTGCATCTATTGAATTGCTTCAATTTTTAGAAGGGCAGCATGTTTTGTTGTCATGTATGAAGTGAACTTAATGCCAGGGTAGACCTTGGGAAGATAAATTCTCCTAGAACTTATTACATAAATAAAGTGCTGTTTCTTTCCAGGAAGAAAAAGTATCAGACTTGCAACTAACAGCAGCATTATGTCTATTACAGGTTTTGCAGTGCTTGTTGGGGTGGTAGGGATGTTTCATTCAGTGAACGTGGAACCATTGCCATGTCTCTTCCTCTTGTTTTGTTTTCATTTTAAACAGATGAACCATGAGGCATTGACTTAGTGCTGCTATCTTGAAAATGTGCACAGGTACACTTAAAGTTTTTTGGTTTTTATTTTGTTTTTTTACCCATTCAGGAAACCATTGCTTGTGATCTGTAACACAAGAACCAAATGAAGTGTGTGTATACATGCATATATGTGTATAAGATTATATAAAATATATCTAAATATGCATATGGGGATGGGGCGGGTAATGTCTGTGAAATAATGTAGGATGCTTTTTCACATATGCACTCCTGAAACTTCACTAACACTAGACACCAGGTCAGCAGTTTCCAGATTGGATGTAACGCTCTCTACTAAACTTCAGCAGTTACTTGTAATTGTTAGCAACAGATGTCAGCTAGTGACAGTCAGTCCAATTTCTACTTTGATTTTTGACGCCAAATTTTTTTAGTTCCAATCATTGTTAATTACTTGAAATACAAATTGGTTTTCATTGACACGTGATAATTCATTATTTCTGTAGATGAAGTTTCTTTTTATGGGTTTAGAAAGAGAAACAATAGCTGAAGAAATCAACTATTTATTTGGGGTTTTTTTGTTCTGTTCATTTGTGTTTGTATCTAGGTTTCTTTACTTTTACATACATTCTTTTTATATGCTTTTCTGATATTACATATTTAAAAAATGAACTATGGAGATAATTTAAAGATTGAGCTTTGGTGGGTATTTTGTTATCCACTGGATTTGAAAATGTAATATTTGATAAAACTGTACTGTAACTGTCACACACAAATGCTTTTCTAATGTTTTAACATTTGAATATTGCAGTTGCTACTTTGTACAGGGGGTCACTGCAATAAAAGGAAGTGAATTCAAGAAAATGGTCTAAACTTACATTTATTTTGGGGAGGGGAGGATATCTACTCACTGTATTTTTCAGCATCAACATTTGTTGCAGGTGCATGATGACATACCGTTTGTGAAGCATGAAAATATGCACAGCAAAGGTATAGTGATATTTAATATACAAACTATAAAACTCCTAGTAAAAATTCTTGCCCTGCTAATGAATGATTTGGTGGAAAAGTTGTTGCTTTCTCAAGGAATATCTGTCCTACACCAAATTGAGGAAGGATGTCAGTTGGCTTGGTTACTTTCCTATTAAGGAAATTCTGTATTGGGTAAAGAATGTTAGCTGTTGTTCCTTTTTAACTCTTCTGTTTGATTCTGATCAGTCCTGAAAGCACAAGAAGAATGCAGGCCAAACAGCGATAGACAGGAAATTCATGGCATCTGATGCACAATCCCAACAGTTGTGCTTCCTGGCATGCTACCTGCTCATGGCAGGAGACATGGTTGTGGGATTGGGTGTCGAATCGTTATCCCAAGTTTCCCCTGCACTGGCATGTAGCAAACCAGTCAGTGGCTCCCAGCCTTCAGAATACATCAGAATCAAGGGCACTGATCTCCCTCTGTGGCAGGGAGCACTGATCAGCAGACTGCCGCTCCCAACCCCGGGGCCCCCTGGAGCCCTTGACTCTGATGTGCCCCTGCAGCTGGGAGCAGCACCCAACTGATTAGCACTCCCAGACTTAGGAGGACAGGGGAGTGTGTGCTCCCAAGGCAGGGAGCCCTGATCAGCTGATGCCTGGCCACGTGCAATTTAAAGCATGATGGGAACCAGGTACAAATTTATTACACATCTTGTGTAGTAACTTTGTGGCTTATTCTTGTGTTATTGCATCATAATTGCAATAACTTGTGGCTGGGTTGTTACTTAAGACATGATTGATTAATGTTTGCCAGGTGCCTAAGTGGCACTTGTTCCAATTGCTTCACTAAGCGTGGTGCCACAGGTTTAAGTTTTGGAGGGGCTTGAATTTATACTTTAGCACTTTTTGCATATTTAGGTGAGCTAATTTAATATCCAAAGGTGAAACTTACTTAGTGGCAAATATGAGTGGAAAGAACAGCAATTATTGCAACTTTTAACATAGCATAATGTTTAACTGAAGGTAGGAGAGGTTATTTCATCCCACAGAAAAACCTCTTTAATCCATCCTTAATGGCATTGCCACTGTGTTACAACCACCTTCTAACCCTCCTTTCTCCCTACCTTTTGTCTTCCAATTTCATAAGCACGTGCTAGAAGCTACTGTACACAGAAAGAACTCATGCACTCGATACAATAAATTGTACTATGGGAATAGAACATTAAGTAGGTTATACTCAGGCTCTAGCTTTACCTCAAAGTCCCAGACTCAAAGTAAGCACCTGACAAGTCTCATGAGTATATTTTTTTTCCTGCTGCAATTTGCGTTATAAAAGAAATGTATAATGAATCTTCAATAATTATTTGCTAACTGCTCAGTTAACTGTGATGTTGCCCTGCAAATTCACCTAGCAGGTATAACTTGGTATTAAGCAGTTTGTGACAATAAATGAAGTTTAGGTTTTAGGTACAGAACTTGGCTGTTGCTAGGGAAAGTTAAGGCAATAGGCTGTGAGAGACCAGATGACTGGTGATACTCAGGTTTGACAAATTATTTGCGAGGTAGCTACGTACTTCAATTTATATTCGTGCTAGTAATTTAATTTTGTTAGCTTGCCTCTGAATATGTTAAAAAAAACTCTTCAGCTGCAAGGGCAACTTAATGTGTACTTTTTCCCTCCTAAACAACTAGAAATACTTGGGGTAATTTGGAATGAATTCTCAAAACTTAATTTTTTTTTACCCATTTTGCATTGTATGCTAAGGCTACAGTTTTTATAATTTTCTAATAGTAACATCCAGTAACAGTCTCTTTTTTTTTTTTATCGTTGCCCTATAATTAATTTTAGATTTTCTCTAGAATAACCACATTCCCAAGTTTTATAAACTTGAAAATTAAAATTGATAGGCATGATTTAAGAATGGATTTCTTCCTCCTTTGTATTGAATAGAATGAAAAGCCAAGAATGAGGCTTGCAAAATTATGACCTTTTCCAAGAGTGCTGAAGAATTCAGCATCCCTAATCCATGGGACGTTTTAAGGTTCCTGATGATGATCAGAAAGATAGACTAGATGGAAACATTTACCAGGTAAATGAATATGTTTCATGCTAGGGCTGTGCGAAATGGCTGTGCTCCAATTTGGAATCAGATTCGGCCATTTTGGAGGGACAGCAATTAGATTCGGTGTTTTGGATCACTGTCCCGATTTTGATTAGCCCAAAACTGTTTCACAATTTTGACACTGATTTTGGAGATTTGGCCATTGACTATAATGGGGAATCACTAAAATACTTATAACTTAGTCATTTTTTGGCTGATTCAGATGACAACAGGGATAGTAGCCCCTTCTGAGGCCATGAAGCCTGCCACAGTTCAAGGAGATAGGTGCAGGGGTTTCTGTGAAATGACGCCTCAAACTGTTCAAAGCAAAACTTGTGACACTTTTGTATGTGTGTAGGTTTTAGCTATGTTGGTCTAAGGACATAGACAGGCAAGGTTTTTGGGTCAATCTGATATATTTTTATTAGATGACCTTTAGTAGTTGGAGAAATATATCTTGGCAAGCTTTTGGATTTAAAAATCCTTCCTAAGGCTGAGGAAGCATATGCAGTTGGTGTGTGCGCTCTTCCTGGGTGGAAAGAATAGTAAAGAAGCCAGAGGCTGGGCTGCAGGCAAGAAAGCCAGTTAGTGAAAATGTAAATTAAGCCATCAGGGGCTTAGGGACAGCCTGGGAGGGGGATGCAGCAGGTAAAAATAGAGGTACCTGGGGAGTCGGATTTCAGACAGGTTATTGGTTTTATACACGCTAGGTGTATATTGAGTCCAGGAGTTTCTGTATCTAGGAGGTAGATGAAATAAAGTTCAGCAGCTCGTCTGTGAAAAATGGTTTGTAAATTCAAACAAGCACCAAACCTCACTAGCCTCATCACCAGAAGCCAGCTTCCTACCGCCCGAAATGCACCAAATGGATCCAGACCATGCCATGACAAGGAATGCAAAACCTGCCAACATATCTCCAGTACCCCCACAGTTACTACACCCCAGAACAGAACCATCACCCTTCCTGGATTTTACACCTGCACCTCCAGAAACATTATATATCTCATCCAGTGCATCAACTGCCCTGATGGAAAATATGTAGGAGACACCCACCAGCAACTGTGACTGTGTGCACCAGAATGAGTACACAATGGAAATCTATTACAGGCAAGATTTCTACATACAAGACTAAGCCCCCCAGGACGATTGGGGGGCTTAGATACCTCTATACTAATGCTAGGAGCATGGGGAACAAGCAGGAGGAACTTGCACTTCTGCTTGCAAATAAAGAATTCGACCTGGTTGGGCAAACAAACTTGGTGGGGTCCTACCCACGACTGGGTAGTGGACATTGAGGCTTACAGACTGTACAGATGGGACAGAGTGGGGAAAAAGCGGCGAGGCATTGCTCTTTATGTTAAGGAGCAGTATGCATCTTTCGTAGTTAATTTGGGCCAGGAAGAAGGGCAAATTGAGGTACTATGGGTCAGGTTACAGGGGGGTCAGGGTGAAAGGGACTTGATAGTGGGGGTCTACTACAGATCCCCACACCAGGGGATGAGTTAGGCCTAGAATTCTCGAAACAGCTCTGAGGCAGCGTGCTCAAAGGACCTGGTTGTCATGGGTGACCAGCTTCCCAGACATCTGCTGGGGGAAACAGGCAGCCAGGTCTGCTGATTCATGAAAGTTTCTAACCTCCTTCCAGGGCCTTCACCTACTGCAGGAGGTATGCATTCCTACTACGGGAAATGCCTTTACTAGACTTAGTACTAGCCACAGGGGATGACTTGGTGGGGGTTCTGCAGGTGCAAGGTAACCTAG